TATACAGAACCCAGATAGCCTTGCATCAGTACTCAAAAGGGCTAATTGGATCACGAACCTTGTCCACCCTCCCCAGTCCCCAGATCTCAATCCTATAGAGGCTCTTTGGAATATCCTTAAGCAAAGAATACGTCGGAGAGTATGGAATACAATTGCGGAGCTTAAGGAGGTGGTTCAGGACGAATGGAGTAAGATTACAATGGAGGAAGTTCGTGCCCGTAAAGCGGATATGCCTCGGCGATGTAAATTACTAGTTAAAACGAGTGGGAAGCCTATAAAGACTGCGAAGTGGTAATAAAAGTTTGAATAGTAGTAATTTTTAGTGTTCTTGATTACGTAATTTAGAAGTTGTACTGTCCCACGAATTCTGTCACCCACTGGTGGTCTTTTACTTCTTTTAAAGTAAGTCTAGTATCGCTATAGTATCCGAGTAAATATACTCGGTAGCACGGACCACCTAACTAGGTATAGACCAATTATTAACTAATTAGTAATTACTCTAAACTAACTAAATACCTAACGAATAAACAAATATATATACTTATGCTATAAGTTTATACCTCCTTACGTATTATAAACCTTATATTAATCCTATGTGCACTCCTCCTCCTCCCCCTTCCTCCTCCTACCTCCCTCTCCCTCTACCCCCCTCATCCCTGTAACCTCTTCCCCTCCCCAAACAAAAACTCCAGAAAAAACCAAAAATCCAGCGAACTAAACCTAATCCACCTACCTACCTTAAACCCAAACATCCCTCCCTCCCATCCTGCCTCCCCCTCCAGAAAAATCCTTGTACGAGTACAGTAAATCCATCCATCCCTCTAACCCCCTCTACCTACCAACCTCCACCTCATCCATCCACCATCAATCCTCTAAAACCTCGACCAACACTCCCCCGAACGGTAATTACAGGATAAGGTAAATTACCTCTCTACACAGCTAATCTAGATCTAATAACCCTCAACCACACTTTCTTCACTATTCACTCTTTACTCTCCACTCCTTCTAAATCATCTAATTACACCATTTCTTTACCACAACAGTCACGCTCAAGTCAATTTAGTATACCGAGATTTCCAATTTCCCCTACATCCACCAATCGTAACTAGCACACTCCGTAAAGCTCTTGAAGTGAATCAGGTTCACTACCCTTGATTGCTAGCAAAACACTACCATCACAATCTTACTCCCTCAACCCTTCGTCAAAAATACTTACAATTCACGGCAATTATGAATCCAAAGATCTGGCATGATGGATGGCATTATCTTGGGTAGAGTAGAGTAGGTTCGAGTCGGAACTCAACTAATTTACAAACCACTTGACTAGTTTCAAGCAATCATGCAGAATGCTATGTGCCGCGCGTGGAATTCTTTGCCCTCCTGTATAGCCATTTCGTTATTCCCCCCAAGTCATCCACGACGCAAGCGAAAGTAGAAAAAGAAAACACGCAAGACAGAAAGCAACGCAACGAGAAACCTCCCCAGAATCCGCCCATACCATTATTTATTCCCCCAAGAATGTATATTGAACATGCCGTGCCATGTTGGATGATTGTCGAGTCAAGCGGGCGCTCACTCCTTGGTATTTTCTGGCTTCATCCATCAATCCATCCACTCTCCCTCTCCCTCCCCTAATAATTAACCACCCCGGGCGTGCTCTCTTCCACGAAATTGAAAAAAAAAAAAAAAAACAGGCAAGGAAAAAAAGGAAATAAGGAAATCATGTATAGCAAAACATGTATCTCAAGTAACAGAGGGTCTGCTCTGAATGCTTTCGAAATCTATCGTCAAGACGAAAGTCGAGTGACGCAAGCGAGCTTGAATGACCATGTAACCTAGTGCTTCGTGACCATAATGCAACTAGCATTGTCGAGTATTGTGTGAATCGTGCTCTCGTGTGACATGCCGTGAGTGTGGCATTTTCGTTCCGAAATTGGATGTAATGACATCGGCACGCCGTTCGATTACTGCGATCCTGCTGGCAAGTCTCACTTCGAATGCGAGTAGTCAGACCAGATCGTAGCTGCTCGAGCCATTGAGAAATCCATAAATCGAAAAGTAGGAAAGTAAGCATAATGAGATGAGTTTTTTGATATATCGAGCCATTACCGAATAGATCGCCGGAAGACGTTCAGGTATTGATCAGTGGTTGGTTGAGATCAGTCAAAGCGAGACTGCCGCGAGTCGAAATTCGGAGGAGTCGAAGAAACGATCGAGGTGCATCGCCCAAGGAAATAAATCAATACCACTGATTATCCTCTCGCTTCGCAGGTCGGTATGCGCCAGAGGGGTATCCAGTTCCGGTTGCTGCACCTTTCGAGGCAGATCGCAGCCTATTTTCGGAGACTATAGCGTCAGCCATCTAGTCAGCATATTGTTCTCCTCGCGGCCAGCGTCATCGAAGCACACTAAACGCGAAGAGGAAAAAAATAATCCCTTACAAGGAGGAACCGGAACTAGCAAGAAACTCACATCCTATCACTTCCTCCAACGGCACGGTTGGTATCCGGAGTGTCGACACCACCACCACTGGCTCCGCGCTCAATCACCTTGCGGCGAGATCCTGAGATCGCACCAGGCTTGGAAGCACTGGATGTGTGTTGAGGGGCGGCTCCACCGGCAGTGGCTTGGTTGGTTCGGGTACGAGGCTTGTCGTCTTCATCTTGAGTTGGTTGTTGACCGGCAGCTTGAGCAATGGCCTGAGCATTCTTTTGGTATTTGTAAACGGTCCAGTCGAAGACGTAATCGTATTGGAATCCCTCGCGGACGAAGAGGTCACGGAAGATCTTTCGGAGGTAGGAGTAGTCCGGCTTGTCATCGAAACGAAGGGATCGAGTGTAGTTGAGGTAGATGGCAAACTCGTTGGGGAAACCACGGCAAAGAACTTCAGTTGGGGTAGTCATCTTCTTCTCCATGATACGGTCGTACTTTTGCTTCTTGGTGGCAGCCTTCAGTCCTTGCCATGGGAGGGATCCACGACAGAAGTAGAGCATCACATATCCGAGAGATTCCATGTCATCACGACGGGATTGTTCTATGAAAGTTAGCTTTAGACATGGAGAAGTTTAGTGGTAACATACCGACTCCCAAATGGGTGTTGATTGAAGCATAACGAGCAGTACCGGTCAAGTTCTTGTTCTCACGATATGGGATGTGGAAGTGAGTCTTGGGGTCACGGTACTTCTTGGCCAAACCGAAATCGATGACATTAACCTGGTTACCACGCTTACCAATACCCATCAGGAAGTTGTCGGGCTTGATATCACGGTGGATAAAGGACTTGGCGTGAATGTACTCGATACGGGAAATGAGCTGATCTGCCAAAAGAAGGACCGTCTTCAAGGAGAACTTGCGGTTGCAAAAGTTGAAAAGATCCTCCAAACTGGGTCCAAGGAGATCCAAGACCATGGCATTGTAATCACACTCAGTTCCGAACCAGCGGACAAACGGAATACCGACACCTCCAGCCAGGGACTTGTAGACGCGGGCTTCATACTCAAGTTGTGGGTGCTTGGCCTTGACACTCTCGAGCTTGATGGCGATTTCCTCTCCGGAAATGATGTTGGTTCCGAGGTAAATATCTCCGAAACTACCACTACCAATCTTTCGACCAATACGGTATTTGTTACCAACGCGAAGATCCTGTTGACTACACGTTAGCATGATGCAACTCTTTTGGCCAAGCATATGCGGTGGTCCTAGAGATATGGAAAGAAGAGAAGAGGGAGCACAAGGCTGGGAAAGAGGATCAAGGTTATGACTCTTCTGGCAGCCGAGCACCGTTACAGAAGAGGTAAACAGAAGGTGCTCATAGAAGGCTGAAGAAAGGGAGTATAAACCAGAGGATTGGCTTTCGACTTGGAAGCGGGTGGATTCACCATAGTAGTCATCTTGAGGTTGGACGAAGGACTCCTGGTATCGGACACCCGATACGAGAGAATTTGTGTGGTTTGTGGTGGTGTTGATCGATCGACCAAGTAGATCGTATGCGAGGACGAGGGAGGAGGAAGTTGGAGGACTAGAGTTGTTGAGAGAAGATATTAGCGTGGTATGGGAAGTTTCTTCGGTGGTGGTTGAGGATGAGGGTCAAGCTAGGCTAAGACCACGCGAACAGTTGAAAGCGAAGCCGAAGCGGTGTGGTGCCAACACGCGTCCCAAACGACCCAACAAAGGTGAATAACAGCAGTTTGCAAAGCCCGGTGGATCAAGGCACGAGTGACTGTAGTGTTCTTGTATTGGTGTTGAGACGCGAGGAATTCTCAAGGGGGAATGTATGGTGGTCGGAGTATTAGAGTGGGTGGTATTTCGGTACGTACCTGGTCCTGCTTCAAGGGCGAGCGGTAGCTGGGAAAAGGGCCGCAAAGGGCTGCACGAGAGGTAGTGCGAGGGAGAAGGACGATGGTGGCAGCTGATGTTGGGCTGTAGGTCCTCACACGCTGGGGGTAGTCAACCTCGGTGGGGATGTGGTGTTGATGACTTTCGTCGTCGTCGTGATGGTGGGGAGAGACCTTGAGGTTGAAGGTGGAAAGAGGAAGGAAGACTAAGACTAAGACTGGATTGCGTTGCGTTGCTGGGCTTGGGGTTGGGGCTTGGGCTGTCTCGCTTGTGATTAGCGCGCACGGTTTCGCGCTAACTGCTTTGGGAGGCTACAAATGCGTGGACGCTGGAAGGTGCGGGAAGGGGGATCAAGGGGTGCCAGATGCAGTGGACTTGGGTAGTCACGATAGCGTAGCACAGGCTGGTGGGCTGTCTCGCACAGGTGCCGCGAGAGCCTGGGACAGTGGGAGCCAGCTGGAGAAGGCAGAACCTGGATTCCAGAAGTTTGGTGCCAGTTCCGATCCACGCACCAAAATAGAATGGCGATGCCGAGAATCAACGACCGAGGAGAAAGGAGGAGAGTAAATTTACATTGTCCTTCACTCTCGTCAATGACATAATATGCCTTTCATACACACGAAAGTGGATTTCCAATATACAATACTTTATATAATACTGATACCAACACATCCAAACACTTTGGCTCACACTGCTTGCATTATTGGCTTTGTCTGCATCCAGTGAGTGCTTGCATAATAGCTACCTAATGAGGACAACCAGTTTGCCTTGAACTGTACAGTGCTACTCATTCCAACAATTCTAGGTTTTTATGCCAGGAGCAGTACTAGTACGAGGGTGTATAGTCGGAAGCGTATAGCTATACCTAATCTACAGAGCAGACAAGACTACCTAGTCCAAGTTAGGCTGTACTAGCGAGTGTACCAGTGGCTGTACGGAGAAACCATATCCGTACCTGCACCGAAGTCAAAGACGTTAGGGCTAGGCGTCAGTTCATCCTTCATCACGAACTCCTGCAAACCCTTGTAAGCCTTCATGATATTCCGTCTCCTTAAGGACTTCACTTTCTCTACTTCCATCTCTCCAACTCCCGACCTATTCCTTATCTTTATTTGTTGATATCAAAATTAAACCATACCATACTCCATCCTTTTTCAATCATGCATTGCAGTTTGACCGGAGCATTATATCCTGAGGAAAAGCAATTTCAGAGCAATTTCAGGCCTGTGCTTCGTCAACCCTATGACTTTAAGGACTTACTTCGTAAATGGCCTGCTCGCAGGGAACAACACGACTTTACTGTCACATCCCCTGTAAACCGAGTTGCATCCCTTGCCTAACCCTCGTCTTGCCTAGTCTTGCCCTTGTTTTATACAAAGGAAGGTATATTTAGGATAAATGTACAATTAGAACCCTGGATTTCAACGCTGCTTTTCTACTAAGTTATCGGGTGCCTGACTCGTAGGCAAATAAGGCAGGAGTAAAGGGGAGAAAAGGAAGCTATTCGCAACTTTGAAGGTACTTGAGAGAATAAAGTAGCTTCTAGAGTAGCTAGGCTAGCCACCTTCTACCTCCTTACGCGTAGGTAGGTATAGGAAGAAACGTAATAAAAAGGTATTACTATAAGATATTTATTTAGGTAGATTTCTTAATAGATTCCCCGTAAGTAACTCAGCTTAGTCTCTTCTACAAGCAGCCTTATAATTCCTCTTCGACTCACGCTGTTCTGTAGTGTATTACGAGTAGGTACGGAGGTAGAGCTAACTTGCCCTTTGAAAGCAGCGTGCAACAGGGGCAGGGATAATGACAGTGAAGTCGTGTTGTTCCCTGCGAGCAGGCCATTTACGAAGTAAGTCGTAAAATCTACTTTAAGGACTGACGCGATTGACGATTGACATTGAAAGGGCGCACAAATCTCCGTGTGTCGAAGCAGAAGCCTGATGTAATGATTGTTGTCGCCCAAGCCTGAAAGAGGGGCAAAGGCAAAAAAAACTGGTTCTGATCCGTCATCCCTATCCAAACTCCGCTGACCGCCACAGCCAAATTCCAGCATCCCCGACATGTCTGCATTTCTGCAATTCTTCTTTTCTTCTACTCCTTCTTTTTTCGGTGGATGATTCCTCTGTTGAATTGTAGGTTCGCCAAGAGTGGTAATTAGCATTGTGCTGGGCGTAAGTAAAGTAAAAATGGCACCAATACACTACTCGTAACATGCCATTTTCCACACAGCCTTGTCAGTAGCACTCCGTAGCCCAAGTGGTTTGCGATGCACTGATGGCAGGCAGTCATTATTGCAGCCCAACTGGTCGCCCCCGCCCTGATCGGTGGTGCATAATCTCCCCCGAAACCCCAGTCCTTGAAGTGGTGCTGACTTTGCACTGGACAATCACATCCCGTCACTACTCATGAAATCCCCGGCTGGTATCATTGGTGTCAAACCGCATACATTCATCACAATCCCCTCATGAATCTCATCAACTCAAAATGCAAAGTTGATCAAGAATTCAGCCTCACGACCTCGCACACAATGCGATGCGCACAGCCTTTTCCCCCTACCGACTCGCCCTCCTCGCCCTCGCCCTCGCTCTCCACGGCCAGCGCATTGAAGGCTGCCGTTTCAAGGAGTTGCCTCGTTGCGCGATTAAATTAACATACGGTACATTTCTCATCAAGCACCGACCATTCAAGGCTCAGTGAGTCCACCGCATCGCACCGTCCATACGGTCCATCTGGTCAGGTGCCGGCCAGAGCCTGTGCCAGACTTGGTAGCGACTGAGATATCTGTACACCCGTCTGGGCATTATCCAACATCAGATTTGGGCATACTCATACTCATACTTCATACAAAAGAACCCGCCGGATGCCTGACTGGTAGCCTTACCATATCCTATAGGCAGACAGGCAATAATGATGCAGGCTGATTAGCGTTTCCATGATTTATGCATACAGTATGTATGTATGCTAGCTTAGGTAGGTGGCTGGCTGTCGCTGTAGTCTGGCTGACATTTCCCCAGACCCAAACGGCCGTAGAACACAAGACAAGACCACAAAAGAATCAGGAATTATTGCAGTACAGTACAGGAAACGGAAGGTCTCATATCCATCAATCCCATCCAATCGCGATCAAGAGACCAAGTATCGCCTCCTTTCAGATGAACATGATGCCGAACGTGCCGTACGTGCGTGCAGGAAAATCATCTCAACTGCACCTCGGACCCGTGGACAGGTACGAGTAGAGCGTGACCAAAGTACTTGTATAATATGTACAAGTACAGTACTTCGTACATTGCCGATCTCACCAAAGGTTACCAGTCCGGCATCACAATCGATCAAGATATCCGCGTTCACGTTCACCAACTTTCCTTCAGACAGTATTCGGCTTGCCTCTATAATCACGTCAGCATCTGCCCACGCGAATGAAAGAGTCATAGCCTCGTCTTCCATACATAATCGTACCATAATCAATACCTTAATAACCTTTGTACCTTCTCCGCATCTTTCAAGAACGCCATGGCCTGGCCCGCAATCAGCCACTGATATACAACAATACATCCAATCTCCAATCCACACATATCAAAAGACCATCCACCAACCGATTTCGGAACATCGTACATAGCCCCGAACACCCAATCCTCACGCCCTCCAATCCCATAGCCAGCCTCGCTATCCCCAAGGTAGGAGACGATTCCAAATCCAACCTCTCGGATCTCCACCCTCTTCCTACACGCTCCAGACCCTCTTGGCTTTCTTTCCAGAACAACACAACTCCTTGATATCTGCATCTTCCTTCCTCCATCACATCTCCCACTATCCTGCATCTCCACCAGTTCTTCCCCCAATCCGTATATTATTTATACTTCGTTCATCGTCCCCCATCCTTTGATTGGTCTCTCCCCTCCCAAAGTCAGGGACCAAGACCAAGACCCGCTCTCGATAAGGAAGCCGTGGGGCATGGCATGGCATCCATCATAAATTTTACTTGCATTCGCCATTTTATCCAGAGAGCAAGTAGTGATCTTCACTGGGGATGTGTGGTGGTAAAAATAGTATCTGCGGGCGGGTCAATCACTAGTGGATTATCTATGTAGGCGTAGGGTTGGTGGGGTAGGTTGGGGTGGTTCGTTTCCATCTCGGTGAGGTGAGGTGGGGTAAGGGGTAAGATGGTTTTTATACCCTTACTCCGTACCCTTTTTTAGCAATATATTTCCTATATCTACGAGTATAAAGGTAAGAAGAGGCGAGGGAGAGGAAAGGGGTTCCAATTACCTATACTAGGACTCTGTTACGTGTCTTAGTACGCTACCTACCTACTTACTTAGAACCTACCTAGGTATCTATAAGTAGAGTAACTAGAAGGTTTATATACTCGACTCTTTCCTTTTTACTTTTACTTTTGAGAATTAAATTACTAGATACCTTTCTAGTAGGGTTCGGTTTAGAGGTATTCCTTTGAAATATCTATCTCTTTGTTCTATTATATATATATTTTAATTTTTAAGTTTACGATTTCCTATTTAAGTAGTCGAACAGGTCGGAACAATACCTAGACGTACTATAGGGCTTAGTCTAATATATTAGAATCGATTAAATAGTACTTATAGAGGCTTATACTATCTCTAATATAAAAGGGAGCTACTTAGCTATATCTATACTATAAAATAGCTAAAAATTATATTCTACTAACCCTATGTCACTAATCACGTATTATCACGTGAGAAGTGAAGAGCAGACGGCGTCCTGACAAGTCAAGCACTAATTAACGCTCTTATAGCAAATGGGATCGCTTGGGCCAGCTAAGCGATCCAGGGATTTCCTTCGTATCTTGTCACGTGACTAGTTGGACCGACTGGACCGACGATCGGTCTGAACTTCTGGAACGACAGGACCGACCAGCGGTCCTGGCAAGGTACAGGAAAGTGAAGGGTCTATATAAGACTGGCACGTCTGCCATTAGATAGGAGCTTCGTGCTCAACTTAGTGTAACGAATACTCAAACCGGCTAACTAAACTTGGCTGGGTGTTCGCTGGTTGGTATGCTATGATAAGAAGACTATCGGGTTGGTCACTTGGAAGTGAACTCGTTACTTGTATCAAAGATGTCAAACTAATATGATAAGATTGATTATAACTAAGTTGAGCACGAAGCTCCTATCTAATGGCAGACGTGCCAGTCTTATATAGATCCTTTCATGTTCGTGGATCGTACTGGATCATGCAGATCTACGCTCCTGGATCGTGGATCATTACGATC